GTGTGTGTGTGTGTGTGTGTGTGTGTGTGAGTGTGTGTGTGTGTGTGTGTGGATGTGAGTGTGTTGTTTTGTTTTGCTTTTTACAAGTAGGGCTCATGTGGAAAAGCATAGAGAAATGTTCACAGAACATGTGGAGACTGCTTTTTCTACTTCTGTAATTAGCCCAAGAGAGTCGTTTGGCTTTCTTTCTGCAACTACCCTAACACTCTCCAGCACCTCTGGCCTTCTCCAATGCACGAGGAGATGGCCAGCGTGAAAGTGTGAATCAATTTCAGCTGCAAAGAACTTGAGCTCCTGGATTTTAAATGTGAACACCAAGGTAAAAGCAAGATCTCCCGGATGCCTGCCTGCCTGGCTTTATGTCCTCAAACGTCCTTGTTTACCAGACCAGCCATCCAAGCATTTGTCTCCCCAGAGATCCCTTTTTGGCACTTGGGCTGAGTATTGGGGATTTTCTCTGTTCCCTGCAGGTTAGCGTCATCGCCTGTGCCCTGTACTCACAGGGTCCCGGGAAAGGCAACTAGGAAAGACTTCCATGGTCCACCATCATAAAACAATCTAAGCAATCCCCCAATGAGACAATACTGGAAGTCCAAAGGCCAAACTAGAAAGGGGACTGGGCGGGGGTCTCTGCAGTGAGGCTGCCCAGCCCACCCCCCACATCAGCCCAAGCAGATTTGCCTGAACGAGTTATAAATCTACTGGTACCATTTCTTTTTCGTCACTTGCCTAATCCTGTGCCCTTCGTTTCATGTGCTGTAATTATTAACATCTGCTTTCTGAGCCTGGCCCGCATGGAGTTTGCAAAGGCAGTTTTCAGTCCAGAACAATGGTGACAGCTGTTTCATTTAGCCTAGGGCCAGCACTTCCTGTTCAGTCTACATCTGCCCTTCTGTGTCCAATTTCTGTTTCAGGGTTTTGTGTTTTGTTTTCTATTTTTTTTCCCTTCATCTGACCTTGCTATATGTTTAAGAAGAATTTCTAACTTAGCACTGCAGCTAGTATTTCTAGCACATATGCTTATTAGATTGACAACAGCCAAGGGGGAGACAGGAGAAAGCCCAGATTGTCTCCAGCAGCTCATGCGGTGGAGTGTAGGGGCAGAAAACAGGGCTGTCCAGGAACTCCGGTACCAGGCTCTGAGCTTTGAAGCTGGAACCTCCTGGTACCTCTCTGGAACTTAAACGTAGGAGAGCTGGGCTCAGCTCATCTGTCCCCCAGCCTGGGGTCATCTGCATAGTTATTTGGTAAAGGGTCACCCAGATATCACACAAGGGAGCCCTGTGTCCATGGTGGCCACGAACACACAGGGGCCTTTCTTCTTTGCTTACCAAGCAAGCTCGTCAGATGGGGCAAGATTCAGAGGCTTAGATCACTTTTCCTATGGAGTCACCAGCAATATCATAAAAATCCCTTGTACTTCAAAGAGGGAAGTCAACAGGATGGGAAAAGGAGAGGAAACTAAAGGCAACCAGCATTGGACACTAGTGTATACACTTGTGTGTGACCGAAGAGGATGGTGATTACATCCACCCTGCCCTTCTAATCCAGACCTCCTAGCCTGTTTCCAGCTGGTCCAAGCTTGGGGTCCCCAGCCCAGCTGGCATACAGATGTCAAGCTATCATCTGAGATCCCCCACAAGGGCCAGGTTAGAGACCTCAACATTTGTGCAAGGCGCCCTCAGAAATTACTGGATATTCATCACCAAATAAGGCACACACTAGACCCTGGAGAGATAAGAATTTGCTGCAGGCAAACATGTCCTGGAGGTGTGCGAAGCAGAGAGGCTGAGGCACGGACCTGAGATGAGGTGATTCAAACGGGGGCAAAGGCGGTCGGTGCCTCTCATTGGATCAGAGAGCACTGTGACGCGCAGAGGCCACAGAGTCTTCTGAATTCCCCCTGATTTTTCTTAATAGATGAGACATTCATCTCCAGAGAGAGGAAGCCACTAGTCTACAGCTGTGGCTTGGTTAAGCTTGACCCTGGCAACCAAAGGCACACGAAGGTCAGTCTGTACTGGTTCCAGGAGCTCGGTGACATCTTCTCCATTTGGGTGTGAAATATCTCTTTCAATCCTAGCCCCTCTCTACCCCTCTAAGTCACTTGCATGAAAACAACTTGAGACCCCACACCTAGATTGGAAGAGTAGGGCAGGACAAGGGGACCCCAGCCTTGGCACTCGTGCCTGAGATCTACTTGAAGACCACTGCTCTTGGCTCTGCTGCCGGGGGACGGCTGAACCCCAGCAGCTCCTAAAATAAGAGCTGGCACTGGCCTGACACAGGGCAGGGAGGTCACAGAGATTCCTGGCAGGCGGTCGAGAGCCCCTGTCTTTTGGGGAGGAGCAGGCGAAAGGGGAAAAAGCAGCAGGGAGGACGATGTGCAGAGGAGGTAAAGACTTCCTCACCGTGGACTGGGCCCGAGGGGACCAGAGAGAGGCTTGACTCAGACACACCCGAGCACTGCAGGGACCTTCCCGCAGCTCTGCAGTCCGCAGAGCAGGAGTGTGAGGCCGGCCTGGCCCCTCCACCTGCAGGGAGCCTCCTCATCCTTGCTGCCTCTCCTGGCCAACAAGAACAAGGCCCATCCCCGCCCCCACTCACAGGCCCTGCCTCCCCCTCCACACTTCCTTCTCTTTCTCATTCACTCCTTTTCTTCTTAAAGTTAATTGCAACTTTTTTCTCAGCTCCCTGATCTGGATAAGCCACATCTCATTAGAAAAAGATTTAGCCAGAGCCAAAGCAGGCTGGAGAAGGAATCCCTAATCAACAGAGAAAAGAGTTGGGTGTAATTGCTCTCTCCCGCCATTCCTGCACCCCCTCCTGCCTCAAATCTTTTTCTGCTCATTAATCTGAAAAGAAAGTCGCAGTCTAATGTCTTGGTGTTCAAGTATCTGCTGCTGCAGAAAGCAAATCCAAGTGCTTTAGAGGTTTGGGGGGAAGGGTTGCATGGAGAGTTTTAGTTGTTGAGGTGTAGGAGTAAAATATTTTGGTTGTTCGGGGCTGTATACAAAGTGCTCTGGTTGGGAGAAAATCTCTTCTGAGTGTGTACGTGTGTTTGTGAAGTGCTTTGGTTGTTGGGGAATGTGTGTGAAGCTCTAGTTACTGGTGTGAGTGTGTGAAATGCTTTGATCACTGGGTGGGTTGTGAAGCCCTTTCATTATTGGGGTTTTGTGTGTGTCTCTGTGTGTGAAGCTTTTTGGTTATTGCTGTACATCCATGAAGTGCTTTGATTATTGGGTGTGTAGTAAAGCCCTTTTGATTAGTGTGTGTGTGTGTGTGTGTGTGTATACCTCTGGTTATTGATGTGTGTGTACAAAGTGTTTTGATTATTAAATGGGTGTGTGAAGCTTCCTTAATTATTGTGTGTGTGTGTGAAATATTTTGGTTGTTGGGGCGGATGAAGGGTTTGGTTGTTGGAGACATGTTTGTAGGTGTAGAGGGCGTTGGGATAGGACATAAGGAGTGAAGCAGAGGACCCTTCAGTTGCTATTGTGGGTGTGAGGTGGCTTGGCTGTTGAGGAGTGTGTGTCGCCCTTGGATTGCACTGTGTGTGTGTGTGCGTGTGTGTGTGTGTGTGTGAAATGCTTGGTTTTTAGGGTGAATATATGTTCCTGTGCAATTGGTCCCTTGGGTGTTTTCCTCTTGCCTGCATTATATCCTGACAGATCCCTGAATGGTGACAGGTGGAAAATGAATTTAAGAGAAAGCTACCTTCTCAGGTAGGGACACTGGGTCCTCAAATACCATTCGACAGAACAGCACTGCCCTTCTATGCTCATGCTTCTGAATATGGACATTTTCTACCCTTTGTAATTGGTAGGAGGACAGAAGGGTGTTTTTAATGTTTATTTTAAATTTTAAAAGTAATGCATGCCCCAAAAGAAAAAATCAGTAATGCATACTCCTGGAAAAATGTGAACTAGGGACTGGATAATGGAAAAGCAATCTCTCTGATGCCCAGGCCCAGTCCCCCACCACCACCCAGTCTCCACCTTCCAGTACCTCTGTGCGCTTCCAACTGTAGGCCACATATATCTATTCCACACTGGCTCCTATGACATTCTGTTCTGCACCTGCTTTTTTCACTCAGCAATATATATCAGAGATTGTTCCCTATCAGCATGGGTGTACATTAATGTATTTTAACCCCTAAAATGAGTTAACTGAGAAAAATCATAGGGCACCTCTATCCTGTACAAGCCAAAGAGTGTGGTAAACAGCTCTCTCCCCAGTAAAGTATGATTCTGGCCTAGCATGATGCTAAGCCTCTCTTTTATTGCCTTGTTTGATGCTCAAAAAACTCCAGGAAGAAGTCACCAGCCCGTTCACAGATGAGGGCACCAAAGCTAAGAGAGGTACTGGCCAAATGCACACAGTAGCAGCAGAGTCAGAATTTGAACCCAGGCCATCTGAATGCAGAGCTCTGGCCTCAGCTACTGCCTTCTAGAGAAAGGGAAGGACCACCTGGGAGCTGGGGGTGAAGGGAGAGTGACGGGTCTCTGACACCCCAGAACCGCCAGAGAGCCCGGGTGTCCTGTCTGGGGTGGTCACCTGTGCTGCCCACTTGGCCCCTGTCCGGGCTCTCCTTGTCTTTGACAGTCCTCCACGGCCCGGGCTCCGCTGGCCTGACCCTGCCCTCTCCAGGAGTACCAGGCACTGCTGCTGTCAGGAGATCCCAGGCAGACACTGGCTCCCATCTCCCGTCCCAGCCCCTGGAGGGTAGAGCCTGGCTTGAGCCTTTTTATGGTTCTCCGAGAAGAGCCCATGCACAATTGCAGCCTTTCTGCCTAATAATTATCCAGTGGAAGTGCCGGCTACAGAGGTGGTGTCGGCTCTTAATGAGGGTTTCTGTTCAGGCCACAGAGTTGCAAGGGGAGCATCTGAGTCACAAATCAGGTTCAGCGTCGCCGTCTCAGGGTGACAAGAACCTCAGCTCAGGATCCACCAAGACCAAGCACATCCTCAGGAAAAACATGGTTCATCCCAGTACTTACCATCCTGCCCTCCTCTGCTGCTCTTCCTCAGTGTATCTCAGTCCGCCATGCTTGTTGCAAGCACTCCTGCCATGGGAGGACAAGGACAAAGTGAATATTTTCAGAGGATGTAAAAATCCTGTTTGTGACACTAGAAAAAAGTGACCTGGGCAGGGAAGTTTTTCAAAGGTAGCCCATTACCTCCTGAGATCAGGGAAGAGCTCAGAGCAGGACCTCCCTAGACACATGTGACTACAGAGCATTTGAAACACAGCCAGTGCAAAGCGGGATGTTCTGGGGGTGTAAAAAATACAACTGATTGTGAAAACCCACTATGAAATTAAAATATGAAAGATCTCACTAATAACTACCCAGGCATTAGATATTGACAAGATGATATTTTGAAGATACTAGGTTACATGAAACAAATTATGAAAATTAACAATGGTGCGTGACTGCCACATGCTTTGATTCACCTGTTCCTCTTTTAATGTGGCTACTAGAAACTTTAAAATTACATAGGCGACTTTCGTTTGAGGCTCCCATTGCCACCAGATAGCAATGGCCTAGTATATAACACATCTTTATGTGAATATCATTGTCTCCATTTTACCAATAACTGAACCAGCTTGATCAAGGACACCAGCTAATGGCGATAAAAGCCAGAATTCACATCATGAGAAGCTAGTGGTTCTGGCTGCATAGTCTACTGGTTATACAATTCCCAAAGCAAGAGATGAACAATCATGTGCAAAAAGTTTTTAGTGGCCGCACCGACTGATGCAAATTTAGAATCTGGGGAAGGCAAAATAAAAGCCTGCAATTTGATCTCCCCAATTAGTGGGGGCCTTAAGGCACGGGATACTTCTTCATGAATAACTCTTCAGACAGGCTTTGGTGGTGTCTGTGGAACCCAGGCTGGTCTCCATCCTTCATCTGACACACGGGGGCAGGACTACAGACTCTCTGGGACTGCTAGGATCCAGGGTACAACCACGCATCAGATCTCTCCCTCCCTAAGGTTGAGGATGAGCTGCACAGAAACACCTGGGACCGTGGCCAAGTGATCACCTTTCTTGTGTCACCTGTAAGGTGAGAACGAGAAGACTGCTCACTTGAGATAACTGTTAGGAGAATCAACAAGATAATGCAAAAGACCATGCGTCTGCGCATGCGTGGCACACGGCAAGTGCTCAATGCATGCTGGCTCTTGTAGTCACCGTAGCAGTAACTGTGAGACCGGCTGGTTGGATTGTTCTGGGTAGTAGGCTCAGCTTCTCAAGCACTTGCCTGGAGCCTCACCCTAACCTGACACACTCGAATGCTGAAATTGATAAGGCAGTTTCACCTTGAACGTGGCTTTTGAAGAATTCGTTACCATTGCAACTCAATTCCCTGATTGGATGGGTAACTGAAGCACCTAGGGAGAAAGCAGCTTGGACAAGGGCCCAGAGGGAGACTCGGGGCTCCTGTAACTGAGCATCTTCTGGCATGTTCACAGTAAGACTAGAATCTTCTGCCGTCTGGTGATGAGTTGGGGGCCAACTTCTTCCCCTCGGAAGTAGTGGGCAGGCAGATGGCACTGTTTTGACCTTTGAGGAGGGACCCAGAGCCATGGCGACCGGACTTCACCCCGCTTTCTCCACCGTGGGAAGACTAGCCTTGTTTCTTCTCAGCAGCGGTTTATGTTTTCTTTACCCCTGAATTTTGGGTAAACAGCCTCCTGTGCTAGCTAAATGCTTTATCAGCTCCTCAGCTGGCCGCCTACCACAACCTTTGTGGCAAGCGGAACAGTATGCATCAGAATTAAGTGCAAGCCTGCCGTCCTGCCCTTCTAGGGAAGAACCCGGCGCTGCAGGGTCGACGCCCTGCTTTCTCCAGCGTTCAGCGCCTGCCACCTGCTGGGTGGCCCCGGTATGGCGTGGTGTCCCTGCCGGCGGGATAACTCACCAAATACTGTACTCACCTGGGCGCCTGGGGTTTAGTACAAAACAGACGAATGTTCTTGTTCTTCTAGATTACAATCTTGCTGAGTGAAAGATGCGTGGAGAAAAATTTAAATTAGAATTAGAATATGAAAGGGAGGTTGAAAGCTTTGGTAGAGAGGCGAGTAGCAATTTTAATTTTCAGGGTGTTCTTCTTAGAGAACGTAGCTGTGGTGGATTAACTAATGGTCAATTTGGACTCCCAGCTGATCCACCTGAGGATTGTTGCCAAAATGACATAGAAGGAGGACGTGAGGGGAAGACTGTCTGCTGTTGATTTTCTGGGAGAAGCTCGCCGGCTGGTGTTCCTGATTTGAACTCCAGTCTTCGCTGTTGCCGGGGACGACTGCTGTTCTCTCTCTTCTAGTCTTTGCCTTGAGCGTGGCTTCCTGGCTCCAGTGCAGATCCCTCAGCCTTCTGCCTTCTGGCACAGACTCTTCACCGCCAGCCTGGCTTTCTAGCTTTCACCACTGGGCCTTCCCGATGCAGATCCTCTATGGACTTACAGGAGACCTTGCAGTGGGATCCAGGCCTTGGCTGGATTCTTCCTGTCTCTAGTGTACAGGCAGATCTCTTGCACTCTTCTGCATGTGACTTTTTGGGTGAATATCATACAATAATCCTATAAATTACATGTAGCATATTAAATCTATTCCCTTTCAAGCCCTGACTGCAACAGTGACTTTTGATCGAGGACTTGGAGGAAGTGAGGGGATTTGCCATGGAAGAAGTGTGTAACTGGCAGAGGAAATGGAAGTGCAAAGGCCCTGGGGTGGGAATGTGCCTGTGCACTCAGGGCTGGAGAGAGCATGCCAGGGAAGATCAGAAGGCAGGGAAGGCCAGGTGGTGGGGTCTTGCAGGTGGCCTTTAAGGACTTGGGTGTATAAGCTGCTCTGGCTGTCATAACAAATGCCACAGATGGGGCTGCTTCCACAGCAGAACATATTTCCTCACAGTCCTAGAGGCTGGAGGTTTAAGTCAAAGCGGGACCAAGCAGGTTTCTGTGGAGGGCTCACCCCCCTGCCCCTAGCTCCCAGGCCCCGACCCTCTCCCGAGTCCTCAGTGCATACATTGGACGTGACTTTCCACACAGCAACTCGGGACACAAACATCCATAACCCTGGTTTTTACTTCTGAGAGGCTGTGTGGGGCCGGGTGGGGGGACCACAGGGCCAGGACACCTGAGCAAGCTGTCAAAAGCAAGCCGGTCTGCTGAGTCACTTCATTTGTCCGGAGAATATGCAAAGGCGTGGGGGAGGTCACCGGAGCCGTGTGTACTGAAGGGGGTGTGAGTGTGTGTGAGTGAACGTGGGTGTGGGCATGTGTGTGTGAGTGTATGGCTGTATACTCTGTGGGAGTGGGGGGGGGTAGGAGCGTGCCTGTGTCTGGGTGAGCAAGTACAGGTGTGAGTGTGTGAGGCGTCAGTGGCAGGGCGTGTGTGTGATACTGAGCGCTCTCTCAGAGCAGTCAGGTGCTTCACCCCGTGACTGTGCTGCACCCCAAAACCACACGTGCCACATCGCAGGGCTCAGCATCTGTGCCAGGACAGGCGAGTTTCACCACAGCCCGCAGACACCGTGTCGGGGAGACCCCTTCCTGCCCCTGGCACACTCACGCCCAGCAGATGTCCCCTTCCCAGCCCTGCACCTCTAGCTGGCGCTGCCAGGCTCCCGAGACTAAGCCTCAGCTCAAGCTTTCCGACCTGGTTCTGGGGAGGAGAGCAGCTCTCCTGTCCTGGCCCCGCCCCAGCTTCTGCTCCAGTGGGAAGGTCAGTACCATGGCACGGGGTGGCTGTGGGACTGAGGTGACCTCTCAGTCTAGCCTCTGGTATTTACTGGGCACATACTATGTGCTGGGTGCTCCTGTGTGTGCCAGAGGCCCAGGTTGCTTATTCTAGTTGGACCTGATGTTGACTGGCCTACAGTGACGTCTTCAAAAGCAGGTGCGGTGGTTTCTCTTTAAAAAGCCCATGCCTAGGTCCGGGGATTTAGCTCAGTGATTTCGCCACCCGCTACGCAAGCACAAGGACCCGAGTTTGATCCCGATACCAAAAAAATAAAAATAAAAATAAATAAAATAAAAAGCCCACGCTCGGTATGCTCCCAGTGGTTAAATTATAGGGGTGTGTGTATGCACATAGGTGTATGCACTGTAACAGAACGAAAGTTGCTAAGAGATAGATACAGAAATACTGAATAATGTTCCTTTAAAAGATACACATAATGATATATAAATAACACTAAGATACGAATCTGTATTCTTTTTTTTTTTCTCGGTACTGGGGATCAAACTCAGGACCTTGCAGGCAGGCTCGGTGCCACTGAGCTACATCCCCAGCTTGAGTATCTGAATAGAAATACGATTAATAGAGGAGGTAGGGAGAAGTCCAAAGAATTCTCCAAAATATCTATTCCTTTGTTTCAAAACTATTTAATATATATGCTAATTTGTTTCAGTTATACTACTAGTACCTCTTAGTTCATTGAAGGGAAAGTTTTGTCTTTTGGTCTGTTTGTTTCTTCTTTGTAAAAGACCATCTTTTTTGTCTATGACTTGTACTCTGAGTAACATTTTGGCCATTGTTTTAAAATTATGACTCATAATGTATTAAGTATTGTTATTCTCTAATTATTTTTTATGAAATTTTTTTTTTTTGTACCGGTGATCAAACTTGGGTCCTTGCGCTTGTGAGGCAGGCGGCAGAACCACTGAACTAAATCCCCAGCCCTGTTTTATTTTTTCATAGAAGAGTGTTTTTTATATTTTCTTTATTAATATCTACTTGTTTTACATTATGATAAACTTAAAAATAAAAAAAAGAAATACTATTGAAACCTTGAACAGAAAGATACACACCAATAGCTTCAGAATAATGTTTGCTCTGGAGAGAGAGAAGAGGATGACGTATGGAAAATTTTTTAAAAGGTGCAAATATGGCAAAATTCCATTGACTTCTCAGATATACTATTTCATTACTAAATACTCATATTACTCCTACAATGTGTGCTACCCCCATATTACAAGTAATTTAACTGAGGCTTAGTGAGATATCACATTGCATGGAAGGCTGGTAATCAAAACAAAGTCTATTTAAATCTGAAG